GTTTAGTTTGAATATAGATAGGATGGATGGGAAAATTTCTTCACGCAAAGCTTTGTCAGGCACTGTCGCAGGTACCCAGAGCAGTGGTGGAATGCCAGATCTGGAAGTGTTCAAAAAGCCGTAAGGATATGGCACTTGAGGCCATGGTTTAGTGGTGGTGGGGGTGCTGCTGCTGCTGGAGGAATGACGGGACTCATTCCTCGGGATGGTTTTAGAGGGCTTTTCCAACATTTATGATTCCATGGTTCTAAGATTCTTTWTATCCTGGCCCTAAGCACCTTGGAAGGACCATGGGATGCTCAGGTGTGGGTTTGCTGTGGGATCAGTCCCCTTTGGCACCCTGTGGCCGCAGGACAGCCTCTCTGGTGACACCACAGTCACATCCTGCTGTTCACYTTTGCTTTTCTGACAAAAATTCTGGAAYTGATCAGTCCTGAGGTCCTGTATTCATTTATTGGTTGCATTAACACAATTTAGGTGGTGTTTATTTTGTTGGTTTTGGTCACCTGAGATCATTGCATTGATGCTTTCAGGGAAAGGTGGGTGTTTCCAGCAGAAATGGGTGGATYTGGAAGATTTTAGGCACTTGATGAGCAGAGACTAAACGCACTGGTAGGATTTTTCTGTTAAAATTAGCAKCAGTGAAACAGTTGACTGTGATGACATTTGATATTTCAATCAGTCTATTGAAATGAATGAGGTGGATACAAATCCTGGATTTGGGAATAAAAGCCACATTAACATAACAACAGTTGATCAGTCGGTTTTCAACTATCAAGATACTTTGTACAGCCTGAAAATTGCTTCTCTGCCATGTCTGCAGCAACCCAAAGGCAGATGATTTGACCTGAGCTATAGCCAGAGTAGTTGGGTGCATAAAACTATATTAATTTTAAAAGTTGGGGAAGGTGTAAAAGGAAAACCTCACAGAAGATAAGGATGAGAAGTGTTTCTGCTCCATGGGAGGCTTTCCCAGAGGATTGTGGCTGTTTTTAAAAACAATCTCAGTGAAAAATAAGTGTGCGCATGAAGAGTCCGTTGACAATTCCTCTCTGAAATATCCAGGGGAAGGTCAGACCTTTAAGGACAGTTGTGCACAGACAGTGGTAGTCTCTTGTAGCAATACTCGCAATAACTCTCCCTCCCTCAACAGGAAAAACATCACAGGGCTGCCTTTGATGTTTTTCCTTGGTCTGAATTTTCCCTTTTACTGCGAAACTGCAAAGCACATCCCAGGGCTTCCCTCTCCYGAGGGATTTTATTGACAGTGTGGTGCTGGAAGCACAGTGTTCACAGGTGCTGAGGGCACCCAGCACTGATGCTCRCTTCCCCAGAGACACTCAAGCCCCCAGCAGGATCTGGAGGACACAGAGGGACTCCATTTCTCCCTCTTTGACCAGAGGGATAACCTCAGAGACTTGGAGTCTTTGAGGAAGCAGGATCTCAGAAGAACCATAGAATCAAGGAGTGSTTTGACATGGATAGGACCTTACAAACCATCTTGTTCTGCCCTGGACAGGAGCACTACTAGCCCAGGTTGCTCCAAGCCCTGTCCAGTCTGGCCTTGGACACTTCCAGGGATGGGGAGYCYGCACCTCCCCAGATTGCCCCATTGTGAGTGATTAACCCTAGAGGTTAATCACTCCCCATAGCTGCTCCTCCATCCCTTCATGCTGTAGGAAATTGCCAGGTGCTGAACTTTACTGGCTCAACTCTCCAGTACTAAGGGAGAGGAAAACAAAGCCAGCAGGCCGTTCCCGTTGCACATCCTCTCTCGGTGCTGTAAATACCCTCTGTGTTCCCTTTCCGACTGACTGGGTCCCTCGCAGAGGAGCAGCCTCGGGGGCCTGCAGAGTTTTCACATCCCTAACAAAGCACTGAAGGACGGCAAAGGACAACGGGCGCCGGATGCYGCCTGTTCTGCGCCAGCGCCCTCCTTACTGCAATTATATTCCTGTTAGAAACCTCCACCTTATTTAAAGAGACACTGTCAACTGCCTCAAAGCTCCTATTTGGAAAAGTCTCCCAAGGCCATTGAGATGTGTTCTTAATGATGGGAAGAAAAGCACTGGTAAAGCAGAGATGCTTCTCCTTTTTTAGGCTGTTGAATCGAATAAATTAAAACTACTTCAATTATTAACTGAAGTGTAGTCCCTTCTGAAAAAAATGATCATCTCAGTTTCCAGATGAGAAGAGTGAAGCAAGAGGAGCTGGGTGATGTGACCAAGGTTGCTCAGTGGGTTGGTCACAGAGCAGAGCTTGGGTTGTGAGGTGATAAAGGAGACTGTATAGCATGAACCAGTGTTTGATTGTTGGTAGCAGCCAGAAATGCTCTCCAGAAGCACGACAGTGTGCTATGATGTAGTCCCTTCTCTAGGAAGGGCTCCAGCACAYCCAGTGTGGCATCCAAGATCTAAGGCTGGGTGAATTCTGAATTCTCAGGCTGGGTCTTGGYTGGTCTGACAGGCTCTGCTTATTYATGTACCACCACGAAAGACCTCTCTAGGACAGGGAGACAGGCTTTGCTGGGAAACTCCAGTCTCTCCTTCCCTCCATTTAAAGACTGCAGATCATCAGGAACCTCATGATTATGTGAATGTTGGCTGTCATTAATGTCACTAATGTTTGTGTTTTTAAGCATTCTTAGTTCTCCTCTCTGGTGGCTTTGSCCAGGTCATATTTTCCTTTCATTTACTCACCATCCTCAGGTTTTATTTCTGTGTTTCCTGGCAGGTGTATGTCCCTCCAGGGTGGCTGCCATGGTACTGAAGGTGTTCTTTCCATCGTGCTGCTCCTCGGCAGACAGCGGCATTTTGATCGGCCGCTGGATCTCGGAGCAGAACGCCGCTGTCATCCTTGCTGTGGTACACTTCCCCTTTATCCCTGTCCAGGTGAAGCAGTACCTCGGGGAAGTTCAGCGTGTCACTAAAGTCACTGTTTCTGTGCTTGGCTCATGGAGCAACAGCAAACAGGAGAAAGAAGAGAGTCTGAGTGAATTCTTGGAAGACCTTGGCACCATATTCTGCCATGACCCGTGGATTCAGATAAGCAAAGAGGGAGACAGCAAATTCTGGAGCTGTTCTACCCTTCAGAAACACTCTAAAAACCCTCAGGAGGAAGAAATCATCYTGGTGTACTATGACCAGCGCAAAGTCATGCTTTCCCATCTGCACCCCACTTTGGACACAGCTGGTCAGGGGGCAGAGGATGCCTCAAAGCTCTCGGCCATCTTCGACACGGTGGCCAGGAGCCAGGTCCTGTTCATGACAGACAGGTACGATGAGGGGCCCATCAAGCTGACCCACTGGCAGTCGGATGGGGTGGAGGCCAGTATCATCGTGGAGCTGATGAAGCAGGCCTCTGTGCCTGCCTGCATGCTGCTGACATTCCTGCTCTCGCTGGTCTCTGGGATCTGCAGGAGCAGGTAGGTGCTGTGACATCAGCCAGCTTCTTCTGCCTGGAAACCTAATTTGTGTTTAAGCATTGCAGGGCTGCTGCTCAACCGCAGTGAGAAATGTGATACAAAATTGTTCTGTTGGAAACAGGCTGCTGTAAGGGATGCTGTTGGGAGTCTGGGGAGCTCCACTGAAAACACAAGGCCAAAGGTTCCCTCAGAGCTCTTCACGGAGCTGGGAGGTTTTCTGGGGAGCCATTCATGTCCTCCCCATTTTCAGCAGGGGTAGCTCAGCCCTGCTTCAGTTTCATCACAGCTGAAACAGTGGTTTTCCAGCTATTCCATGGCTAACAGAATGACATGAGGCTTTCCTTAATGGCTGGATAGCTGGGGACTCCCTCCTCCCTGTTTGCTGTGAGTCCCTCTGCAGCTGTGAAACATCAGCAAATACTGTTTCTAAATCCATCTTCTCTCCAAGAGACTGTGGTGCTGCAATCTTGGCACTTTATATAGGAGTTTAGAGGGATTGYTAGTAAGCCTGAATCCTTGGTGAAATCCTGTTCTCACAACCATGAGCCTGAACAGGATGCTCCAGATGTAAGACCTGGCAAGTATGTGGTCTAAGACTAATTCTGAGCAGATTTGAGGGGGGAAAGCTTAGAATCATGGAATTATTTACATTGAAAAAGCCCTCTAAGATCATCGAGTCTAGTTATTAAGCCAGTACTGCCAAGGCCACCACTAAACCATGTTCCCAAGTGCCACATCCATGTGTTGTTTGAATACTTRCAGGGATGCTGATTCCACCACTGCCCTGGTCAGGTTGCCTGGAGAGGTGACAGAGAGRGGAGTGGAGTCTTGGTTTCAGGCTTCAAGRGGACRCTGTAATTGATGAAAYTTTGATAACAGCCGCTACTGTATTYCCAGATAAATCTTCTAAAGTACAGCCTAAGGGAGTGGAGGTTTTTAATATGTTTCCAATTGTGTGATACAGTTGTAAAAGAATTACAGTGAAACTCTTCCCATGCAAAGATTTTTTGARCAGTTGGATAACACATTTTGGTACACAAAGGGAAAACTTTCCAGTTTTGGACTATTGGAAGACATTTAGGGTCAAACCCAAATCTGATATCACTGAGAACCAGTGTGTTAATGATTGTTAATGGTGACTAAGGCACAACTTTGTGTTTGGGCAGAAGATTTGGAGTCAGCTCCAAAAGTCTTTTTTGTGTCTGTGTGCCACCACCAACAGACAGACAGGATGATCCTTTTCTGCACAGGCACTTGGTCTCACTTGGTCCCACCTTGACTGGTGCCAGTACTCAGGCCAGGCTTGGAGTCAGGTTAAGTCCAAGCCTTGCAGGGTTCCAAGAGGCCACAATCTCAGCATAACTTGGGAGATCAAGCTCAGCTAGCAGGTTGAGCCCAGATAGCTGTTACCCAGCTTCTCAGCAATTCTGACTTTAGCTTTTCCTAGGGTCAGGATCGGGGTTTTAAGGCAGAGCAGCAGCCAACTGTRCCTGCCAGCGGGCAGAATGTGAGGCTTGCTATGCATAAACCTGCACTGAGCTTTTGTCCTTAGCCTTGGGAGGCAGATCTTGCTCTCTCCTTTGTTTTATTCACCCACAATATCATCTTAATATTTACTTCCCTTACAGGTGGTTTAAAACTCAGTCCTGAAGARCAGAGACTAGTACCTGGCTTTTTAACAAGCCTCCTGCTTGACCTCCTAAGTCATTTAAAGGAATTTGGTTCCATTTGGCATGTGATGTGTGGTACAACCTTCTTCATGCCAACATACTTGAGGCAGGGAGAGTTCAAGATGTCACATGCCGGTGTCCTTCAGTCCCCTCCTCCTTGTGCTGGGACAGGACATCACATAAAATAAGATTAATGAGTTTTTGTTCTTTCAGGTCACAGGAGTTCTTTTGTTCCCTATTTTTTATGATGTTAAAGGATAGTCAGCTTTGAAAAGCTAAAGGAAGAGAGCAGCAATGTCCTCTSAGACTAGGGATGCTTGGGGATTTTTGGAAATGCTCCTGTTGTGTATTTGCAGGASAAGCGAGGCAGCAGTGCTGGAAATCTCAGGGAGTGAGTTGCTGCCATCCCTCCAAGCTCACCCAGCACTTCCAAGTCCTGCACATCCCGAATTAAGCCATTTCTTCAGCACCACCGTGTGCTAAGGGGTGGCCATTGCAATTCTGCTTCAGAGGGACTTGGGGGCAGCATTCCCATTATACCTGAAGGTCTCTGCTCTTGGGGACATCAGGATGCTTTAGTCTTGAAGCAATAAACTCTGTGTGCTCCTTTTAAAATAAGCCTGTTTATARACACCTCCAATCCCTCATCCAAAGRGAGGCACTGTTCCTTCAATTTCTAGCAAGGAGCAAGAAGACACTCAGTAGTTCTGGTTAATGGAGCTTAACATTTGCATGTGATCCAGATTCGGAAAGATTGCTTTTCATCTGATATCTGAAAAATCCCCTCYCACTCTTGGGAAAAAACTGAATTGGAAAATCAAGACTTACTCATGGAGGCTATGTTAATTTATTGCTAAAATTCCATATATTTGGAAATACCCCAAAGATCCCCTGCTGCTTAAATAATGCAATGACACAACATCACTGGATTTCTGTTGGGTTTTTTTATCTGGTTGGTTTTCCATTGAAGTTCTGAAAATTGTTCTATATACTGTATGGTAAACAAGTGGGAGTATTTCTGGCAGTGCACAGTCAATGTGCAAAGGGGTAGGAGACCATGCAAGGCATATTTTTTGCTTTCTTCCTCCGTCCTCCCAGAGAGGAGAGTTCCCATAGCACATCTTGCAGCTGCTCTATTGAGCTTTTTGCAATATGTTTGTATTTTTATTTGAATAAGTATGTWTATCTATTTCCTTTCCAAGGAAAGTATGTGAGTGGAATGTTGGTTGTGCTTGTGGTGGTGAGTGAGAGTCGGTTGTAGCACAAAGAAATCCTTCTGATGGGTTTTGAGGCCCATGGTGTCCAGTAGAGGAGCTGAGCCATCACAGGCTGCACTGGGTGCCCAATGCTGGGGTCCTGCTGGGCATGAGGCTGCTTTGGGAATCATTCCCACTTGTGCAAGACATTCCCCAGGCAGATGACAGCAGTCTGTCCTTTCCCCTGGCTGGGGGTGTCAGACTGGGGGTGACCCAGGGCTGGCTACCTCCAGCTTGAGGAGCAGCTGTGGAGGATGAGAARCAGCCACTGCTGGCAGAGGATGGGACTGTCACCTGGTGAGAAGTGTGGCACAGGGCCCCAGAGCTGCTGCTTTCTGCCTGAGCTGACAGGGTCTGGCAGCTGCTGTTTGACCCATAATTCTTCACCTTCAGCCATCTGTACATAATCCCACAAGCAGAGCATCTCTCCTTCCCCTTCTTTGCATTTCAAGTACAATTCTCTGTTCTAGTCAAGTTTTGCTACAGCAGAGTTTGTAACCAGTGGGCTGGGGTATAATTGGAAAGGAAAACTCGTCTGCTCTTGTGTCTTGGTGAATCTGTGAGCCCAGCTGTGTGTGATCAGTGGCCAGAGCAGTCACCCCCCTCTCCCTCCCCTGCAAGGTGCTCTTTCCTCCTCCACCTCAGCTCCCTCCTCCTGACAAGTCAGCTGAGGAGCAGTGCATTAATTTGTCTCCAAGGTGGGAGGCTGTAGCGAAGAGCTGAGTAACTTGGAGACCTCAAATTAAGAATGATTCACAGTACACTGCATGTGTTTCAAACCCAATGTGTCTGAAAATTGAATGGGGAGGGAGGGGGAAGGGGGGGGACTTCAGCACTCTGGTCCTTAAGCTGACAAATCGTGCACAAAGGGAGGTTCAAAGAGCTCAGGAGGATGTGGGAAGGACGGGGACAGCAGCCCGAGGGAAATGAGCAGGGTTTGGAGGAGCTGTACCYTTGTGATTGGTGTGAATTGTATAAATAGCAGTGAGCACCCCAGTGTGCCCATCCTGGCCAGTCCTGGAGGCATCTGCTGCTGGGCATGGGCTGGCATCCTCTGGATGAAATCCATGGGAGACACACACGGTTTGCAGGGACATCCATCTCCAGGCCATGATCAGTAATGATCCAAGCAGCTGTACAATTTCCAAAGCAAAGCAGGATATAAGGGATATTGTTAGTGTGTGAAATGGATGTAACTTGAAAGACCATGCCAAGGCAGCACAGGAGAGTAGGTGACATGAATAAAAGTGACCACGGATTCCTGGACCAGTAATAAATAACAGTGAAACACTGTGAAAATAAAGCAACAACTACACTGGGTAGTGTAGTRTACTAGTCATGTGTACAGGAGAGAAATGATCCAAATTATTTTCACATCAGAATTTATCGCCCAAACCAACCCTGATGCCATGTGTTGCTGTGGTTTCTGTGGCCAGCCTGYACCCACTGCTATGTCACTTCACCTGCACAAACCACCAACAGTCCTTGCTTTATAGGTTATGTGGTAATAAAAGTAACTCCCCAAAATAATTGAGCATAATTTAGTACTTTTCTTCTGAGTCATGAGAAAAGAACCGTGTGACTGTTTCCTCCCCTACAAACCTAATGTGGATGTTAACTTTGAAACYTAATTAAATGCTGAATGTTGTGTTATCTACGTAATGCTGGTCACTGCAAGGCAGTGCAGGGAAGGTAGAAGATCCTGAGAAAAGAATTTGGAAGTAATAAAGAAAATAGAGAAGGATCAAGTGGAAGAAAAAAGAAAAGAGGGGGAAAAGGGARATAAACTGCATGGAGGGCCCAGYTGTTTGTTATACCAGKCTCACACCAGACAGAGACTTGTGATCCCCTCTGCTCTGAAACCAGCCTGGGAGAGCTGGGAGTGTTCACCTGGAGAGGAGAAGGCTCCAGGGAAATCTTAGAGCTCCTTCCAGAGCCTAAAGGGGCTCCAAGAGAGCTGGAGAGGGACTTGGGACAAGGGCCTGAAGGGACAGATCGAGAGGGAGTAGCTTCCCACTGTCAGAGGGCAGGGATGGATGGGATATTGGGAAGGAATTGTTCCCTGTGAGGGTGGGGAGGCCCTGGCACAGGGTGCCCAGAGAAGCTGTGGCTGCCCCTGGATCCCTGGCAGTGCCCAAGGCCAGGTTGAACAGGGCTTGGAGCAACCTGGGATAGTGGAAAGTGCTTCTGGCCATGGTGGGGGGTTGGAATGAGATGAGCTTTAAGGTCCCTCCCAACCCAAACTATTCCATGATCTGTGATGGTAACCCTGGGRTGTGTGCTGCAGTTTCTCCACATTGTTTTGCTGCACTGAACACACAGCTTGACTCTGATGGAGACTGAAGCATTGTGCAGGCCCAATGATGTATCCAAAAGCAGTAGCTGGAATCAAAATTGCCTTGTGGCTTCCTTGGAAGAGTGAGACGTGGTTTCACAGGGTGCCAATCAGAGCTTGGGTTTTCTGCATTAGATGTTTTGGTCTGGCAAGGCTGCCTCAATTCTGTTAACCTTTTAGGGAGTCATTGACATCTAATCACCAGCTCTGGTTGCCTTAACTTTGCACTGTTTTGCATGAATTTAGGATGCTGGCCTCATGCTGCATAACAAAGGCAAAAAGGGGACGTTCCCATGTGTTTCTACAGGGTGCTGAAGTTTTGGCCTTTGTCTTTCTTGTGGAGCAAACTCTCAACTTGTGAGCAGCTGGGACATCGCCTGCAGCACCTTCAGATCATCAGCAGCAACAAGAAGGCTCAAAACCAGACTCAGCTGATGAGGTACGGAGTACATGTAAAGTTAGATGTGTCTTGGCTCTATTCCTGTCTCTTGTGGGGAGCCCAAACCATGGATCCCATGCCTGGACATTGCTAGGTCCTCACTGGCCCATGTCATGTTGCTCTACTCCCTGTTAGGTTGCACATCTTTCCTCTGTACTGTATTCATATGCATATATATTTGTATGTTTGTATGTTAATGATCCCTTTTGCTAGATACCTGCCTTTTTCCTGAGCCTGGGAAAGGCAACGGGATATTGCCCCCCAAAAGCTTGTAATGCATCCATGTGTGAGTGCTTTGCTGTCACTGCTCCTACAGGCTCATTGCTCTCAAGTGCTGCTGTCAATCACTGCCATCCAACAGCATTCAGGGGCACTTTCCATAAGAGCAGAGAGTTTTACTGTTCCCCTCTTTCACCCACTCTTTTGGGAAAGCTTTTTGTGCAGAAACTGCAGACAGGAGACTCCAGTTACACTGTTAGAGCAGTAACAAAGTGTAAGAGGAAAAGCAAACATGCAGCACCGTGAGAGGAACAGAGCAGAAGATCTGAGACAGATATTGGTGCCCTACAGCTCTTCCACAGCCAGTCTTGTTCTGTGTGGTTCTCTGATCCTGCAGTAATAGACTCCCAGGGAACACTTAAAATAGATTAGCAGATTTGAAGGCCAAAAGTAACTGTGATTGTTTAATCTGATTTCCTGAATAACTCACGTCATGGAATTCCTTTCAGAAATTCTAGCAAGGAAGGGGCAGGTCAGCAGCTCTTCTGGGTGTATGAACCCAAACCCAGTATTTATTGCCTTGTCTTGGAAAGCCATCTGATCTCAGTGTGGCTGCTAGACATGCTGGTGCCCTCAATACTGGTAATTGGTAAATCCCCCCTGAGTGTGTACACACCTTTCTGTCTGACATTCCTTTTTGTAGCTTCAATTCCCTCTTTGCTCCCTATTAAGAAAGGTTTTGTGATGTGGCAGGCTCTGAGTGGCTCTGTGTTTAGAATCATGGAATATCCTGAGTGGGAAGGTACCCACAGGAGTCATCCAGTCCAACCCCTGGCCCTGCACAGACACCCCAACAATTCCACCTTGTGCATCCCTAAGAGCAGTGTCCAAACACTCCTGGAGCTCTGGCAGCCTCAGGTTTGTGCTCGTTCCTTGGGGAGCCTGGGCAGTGCCCAGCACCATCTGGGGGAAGAGCGTTTTCCTGATCTCCAGCCTGACCCTCCCTGACACAGCTCCAGCAGTTCCCTGGGTCCTGTCACTGGTCACAGATCAGAGCTGTCCTTGTGCTGCCCCTTGGGAGGAAGCTGTAAAGAGCTGTAAGGTTTCCCCTCAGTCTTCCCTTCCCCAGGCTGAACAAACCTGTCCTGTGCTTAGCCAAAGGAGGAGCAGCAAACAGTGAAAGTGAAAAGATTCCTTAAATTGTTCCTCTTCAGTGAGTTGTCCTGGTGTCCCTGGGACATTAAAGGTGCTCCATAAGCAAAGCCAACWATTGTCATTGAAACATTAAACACTGTCCTTCCTTTTTCTCTGAGTCTGTTTCTCTKTACCCTGCCTGCAGGAAAGCCAACATCTTTGTCTCTCTGCTGATTGATGTGGCCCTGGGGATACTGCTGATGTCGTGGCTGTACAGGAAAAACCGCATTGGTCATCTTGCTGACACTCTCATCCCTGTGGCTGATGTAAGTCTGGCCAAATCTGATCCCCTTTCAGCTGCTCTGGGCACTGCCCAGCTCTCCCTGCTTGGGGTGGTTGTATGGAGGCACTGCCTCACACACAAGGGTTTCAGAGAGTCCTGTCTGAAGTCATGCAAATGAGGTCTTCTCAAGAGCAGTGAAATCTTCAAATCAAGCCTGTTGGGACTGCTCAAAAGAAACTCAGCTCTGCTGTGTATGTGCTGTGAATAATAAGTAGATATTTATGGGAGGGCTGCTCCCACTCCTAAAGGAACAATTATGTCTTGGACAGAGTTCTGCAGCTGCAGGTTGGGTGGTTATGGAGCCTCAGTGCTTTTATTTTGCTTTAAAGCCAACACAAAGTGTCCTCAGGTTGTTGCTATATGGGTTGTTTGTGGTGAAAAAAAGCTGTAATGTGGTTGAATCTGATAAACTGCTGGAAAGTCAAACATGATAAGCAGTGTAGCTGTTCTTGTGAAAGGAGTTTCATGGGGAAGTCCAAAGGCTTTGCTGGTCAGGGTATAAACACCTGAAATCCTGCCTAGGAGCTCTGGGGTAAAGATGCTAAACTGGGAAAACTTGCTGTGTCTTGTGATTTTTTAAACATAACTCCTCTTGCCCACTGAGATCCCTTGACATCAGCAGAAATTCACGGATWGCAAGTATGACTCACACTGTCCTGCTCTTCTGGTAGTTCATTTTAGGTGCAGAGCTCCCATGTATCTGTTTAGTGGCACTGAGGAACAYATAATGTACTTCAGAGGCTGGAGACCAGACCACTAATCTGAGGTCAGGTCTGTTTTAAGRGCTTCTGTGTCTTGGGAATAGATGTGCAGCCAATTTTGAGCCCTGTCATTGCAGCTGCACAGCCTAATCCTCTCTCTGCCCACTTTTCTTTCATTTCTGAATGGGTCTTTCCATTGGTTTCTTTCTAGCAGCTGGAGAATGTTTTCTCTCTGCTCTTTCTCCAGCTTCTTGGTTGGGAGGAATCTGATTCTGATCAGAGAATTCCAGCAGCAGTTTATTTTTCCTACTTACACTGCATTTCCTGGGAAGAGCTCACATTTCCTTTGATGATGATCCTGTTGGTGCATGTCTAACTCCTCAATTACTACAAGATCTCTGATCATTCTTTTACATGCTGCACTTTTAGAAAGCATGTATGAAGTGTCTGGTGTAGCTGTGGATCAGGATTATCCCGATAATAAGCTGCTTTTCTTATCTTTCATAGTCAAACTCTTAAGAGCAATGTGTTTTAAGGATTGCTGTAGACACTATTCAGCAGCAGTGGTGGGTAGTAAGTGCCACATTTCTACAGGACACTTGCTCTTGTGTTTGAGCTATAAACYACAAATCTTCTTTTAAGCCTTATTTCCAAGGCTTTTCCCTCACAGAACCTCTCAGCTGGAGAGGTTTATGTTCCCTAGAGCTTTCTCTTTGGGATTACTGGAAGTGCCCAGCTCTCAGAAATCTGATTTCTTAACAAGTCTGAAGGGAAGTGGCTTTGGCTGCATTCCTGGTTGCACAGGTGGCTCCGGGAGGAATTCCATCTGCCCAGTGTCTTTGGCAGATGGACACTCTCTGTGCTCAAGGTGTGTCCAACCTCAGCACCTGGCCTGGACAGGCTTGCTTGTGAGGCTTGCTTGTTTGTTCCTCTGTCAGTAATTTAGCTCATCTGTCACTCAACTTTGGCATCACAGTGTCAGTTATCTTCACCAAGTCTCCTCCATGTGCAGACTGCGTTACCTGGCTACCACCAGGAGCTGTTTGCTTTCTTTCCTGGAAGTGCTAACTCCTCCATGTCTGGAGTGGCTGATAACTGGTCAGTGCCTTTCTTCCCTGTTTTTCCAGCCTTATCAATTCAGGCCACTCACAACTCTTATTTTTTCCAGCCTTACTTTCTTCTTTTGGGCATATGAGATTGTGGACATAAAATCATTTGGAGTCCTTTTACTGTCTTTGCTGGGCATTGATTTACATGCATTATGTGCAGGCCTTAAAAAACGCAGATCTGAGTGATCCCAAAATATACCAATGACTTCAGCATGTGGTGTGCAAGCCAGCACCACTTCTTTTCCAGTATGACAGCAAAATCTCCCCTCAGCCATTCAGCAGTAGGTTTCCTCTCTTGCTGAGTGTCCATCTGGTCTGCATTATTCCCACCCCTTTGCTTTCTCAAGTGCTCATGTGTTGCCAAGTTCAGAAACTCAGCATTCCCTGTGTGCAGAGAGCTCCTGTTCCTTCCCTAACACTCTTCTGCTCTAAGCTGTGCTCAGATCTGCTGATGCCATTGACCCTACACCTGTCTGTTGATGAATAGAACATTGGATATCTCATTTACCCCAGAGCATGCTGGGGGAATGGGCATGGCCTTGAGGCTGCCAGAGCTCCAAGAGCGTTTGGACAGCGCTGCCAGGGATGCACAGGGTGGGATTGTTGGGGTGTCTGTGCAGGGCCAGGGGCTGGCAGGACTTTGGTGCTCCTGAAGGGTCCCTTCCCACTCAGGATATTCTATTCTATTCTATTACTATTATAATAAGATTGTTATGTAAAATAAGGCTATATACATAACCTCACTTTAACCTTATTGATTTGAACACTGACACATTATATAACACATAACCTTATTTGTTTGATTGATTGATTTTAACATCAACAAAACCCCAGCTGTGTGGGGCCTGGATACAATGCTCAAGTTTTTTCCCAACCAGCATCTCTCTGGAAGGAAGCAGTGCAGGTGGGTTCTTCTGACTCTCAGCACTGCCAGGGTCACAAGCTCAGCCTGCTGCCAGGAGGACAGGCTGTGTTCCCTGGCCATCCCTTGCCATCCCCTGATAAAATGATTCTCGAATGAGGGCTTGGCTGGCAATTGTTGATGCTGCACAAGACATCACTGAGTGCAGCTCCCACTTTCCCAGCATGGTGAGCTGGCTGTAATAACAAGTTGCTTTTGTCAGTCAGTGAGGCAGATGTGATTCAGAGACACCCAGGGAGTAACTGGCAAGGAGCTGTGTGCACTATGAAGGACTGATTTTTGAAGCAGGCTTTCAAATCCAAAAATGGAAAACTTGAATAATCTTCTCTYTGTAGGTACCCTCACAACTCCTACCTTCCCCCTTCCTCTTGATCCCACCAGGCTTCCCAATGGTTGTCCTTGCTTTTGCCTTCCACAAGACAGCCTTCTTTCAGAAGTACTTGACTCAAAGCACTGCCTTCATTTTAAACAGAACTGCTTAAAAACCATCTCCTTTTCTTTTTTCCCTTCATCTCGTTTATTCTTGCCAATGTCTCTTTTTCCTAAGCTGTAATCTGTTTGAAACAGTTAAATATTTATCATAGATTGTGYCTGCAAAAGCATTACTGGGGCTTGGAGATAATTGGATGTGTGTTCCTACTCAGTCTTGTTCCACTGATCCATAAACAAAGCAAGCAGAGGGAACACTTCCTGGAAAAATATTTTTACATGTTGATTTGTARAACAGTGTATCTTAGAGCCCCAACCACCTGCAACAGACACAGGGCAGGTGTGTCTGGCAGGGAGAGCTCTGGCTCTGYGTGCTCTGACTTGCACCAGGTAGAACCCTTAGAGTTGGAAAAGACCTTTGGGATCACCAAGTCCAACCATCAGCCCAGCACCACCATGTTCACCATTAACCCCTATCCCCAAGTGCCACATCCACATGGGTTTTGAACACTTCCTGGGATGGGGACTCCACCACTGCCCTGGGCAGCTGTGTCAGTGCCTTTCAGTGTGTCATCCTTTCAGTGAAGAAATTTTCCCAATATCCAATTTAACCTCCCCTGATGTAACTTGAGGTCGTTCCCTCTCCTCCTGTCCCTGTTCCCTGGAGCAGAGCCCGACCCCCCCGGCTGCCCCCTCCTGTCAGGGAGTTGTGCAGAGCCACAAGGTCCCCCCAGAGCCTCCTTTGCTCCGGGCTGAGCCCCTTTCCCAGCTCCTTCAGACACTCCTGGGGCTCCAGCCCCTTCCCCAGCTCCATTCCCTTCTCTGGAGGATCACAGTGCCCTGTGTGTCCTTCTCCACATGTCACATCACCATTGGTCCCTCTGCATATGGAGAAAAGGAAGAAGAGCATGACAACACAGTGATCTCATYTAACTGGTTAGCTCCAGTCTCTCTGCAGTTTGTCTTGTTCCAGCACCCTGTTATGAAACACTTCCAAACCACTGTATCTGATTTATTAATATGCCTGCATTCAGTATTCATGATTGCAGGAGGAGAATTGGACTCCCAGTCACCTTTTCTGATTCTACTTGCTATTGATCAGTCCTAAAATATCTGGAAAACAACCTGCAAGGTTATGCCTCAGGACTCTGTTTTGAGATGCTTTGCCCAGCTAAATAACAGCAAGGTAGGGCACCTTCCCAGGCTGCATGTCCCTGTCAGGGTTTAGCAGCACCTCTGGGACTGGCAGCCTCTAGAAATACTCATTGCTAAAATCCAGCCTTGCTGAAGGACTGCTTTCAAACATTTAAATATTTCATTAAAATCCCCAAATGCTTTTTCTAAGTTACCAATCCAACACTTTAAATATTAAAACCAGTCTATTTATAAAGCAGCAAATGCTTCTCAGCCACAGAGGTGAGCTCCATGGGATCTAATCAGTCCTGACTTGCAGTGAGATAGGTAAAGTGAAGAAAATAGACAAACCTTTKGGAGAAGTTGAACATAGAGCCATTAATTTTGCCACTGCACTGAAAGTAAATGTTTACAAACTCATTTTGCCAGGATCTGTTAGTTAATAAAGAAAATGGAATCATTCCTTGGAAAAAAWTTTTCCTTAGGGAAATTATACATGTGACTGATAAGGAAAGTAGTCTACAGTGCATCAGCTTTAGGGAGTGTGGCTTGGTGGTTCTACATATGGGCAGTTTGTAGTGCCCTTCACTTGCRTCTGCTGTAAGGGGGATTTTTGGAGAAAGAGGGCTTTTCCTTACAGTCTCTGTCTGTGTGGGACAGTGTAAGAGGTCACTTCTTCCAGGTGTTTGCTGATGGTTATCATTCTCAGTTCCTTTAGTTCAGAGCCGGGTAAGTGGAGCTCAGCACTGMTTTCAGCTCAGGGCAGCTGAGCTGTGAAGTTCCAGAGAACAGTGTTGACTGCAAGGGGAGTGTTGTGTGGTGGGGTGGAGAGAGAAAATCAATAAACCACACCAGGTTGGGCTGAAATCACCAGAAATTGTGAATCAAAGCCCTCAGTGAAGGTTCTGGAGCATGTTTGACAYAGGGTGGAACAAACCCAGAGCTGGGATTTGGTTTGTTCTGCTGCATTGAAGTGACAGCATATAGGGCAGGCAGGAGTAGGTCCTGAAACTCAGCACTTSCAGTCCTGGGAGCAGGAAGGACAGGAAGGACACTGAGGGGCTGGAATTTGTCCAGAGAAGGGAACAGAGCTGGGAAAGGGGCTGGAGCCCCAGGACCACCTGAGAGAGCTGGGGAGGTTCAGCCTGGAGAAAAGGAGGCTCCGGGGGCACCTTCTCACTCTCCACAACTCCATGACAGGAGGGTGCAGGCAGGTAACAAGACAGGACAAGATAAAATAGCCTCAAGTTACACCAGGGGAAGGTTTAGATTGGATATTGGGAAAATTTCTTCATGAAGAGGGTGGTCAAGCATTGGAACAGGCTGCCCAGAACTGTAGTGGAGTCCCCATCCCTGGAAGTGTTCAAAACCTATGTGGATGTGGCACTTGGGGGTGYAGTTAATGGTGGACCTGGCCCTATGAGGTTTGTCRTTGGACTTGATGATCTTAGAGGCTTTTCCAAGCATAATGATTTTCTGATTCTGTGATTTGGGGAGGAGCTCCATTAGTGTTTTTCCTCAGTGATTCCAAGGCTGCCTTGTCGCTGGGATCTGGATATCTTTCCATGAAGCCTGCAGAGAGTGATGGGCAAGATGAGTGCTATTGCCCAGTACACCACAAAGGATCAAGAAAGTTTGTGCATGAAATACATTTATGTTACTGAGCGTTCTACCCTTCTCTAAACACAAACAGGTTGTTTATGAAAATTGATTCTTTTTTGCCCATTAATTCACTGCCATATTCACCCATTTTAAAACCCTGACAGCCATCCCCAAACTCAGCTCTGACTTTCCAGCAGACTGTTCCCAGAAGTGGATTTGTGCACCAGCATTTGCCATCTATTTCCAGAACTCTCATTATCCTACAAAATCCCACAGCGCAAACCTTCCAGAGGTGGCCAGAGGTGACACAGTTTCATGTTCCCAACACAGAGACCATTGAAGCAGTTCAGGTTCCTCTTAGCTAATGTGTTCAATTCAGTGAGGAGTTAATAAAGGTGCATTTCTGATTTATGTCATGTTCTGTAAAGTGGCTGTTTGGATTTTTTTCCATTGGTTTGGAGKTTATGGTGGAACACTTGAGGGGGCTGCAATTACAGTGCCCTGTAGTTCAGTGTGGCTGCAGTCWGTTCTCTCCATGGCTTCACTTCCTTGTGTTTGCAGCACGTGGCTGAAGAGCTGCARGACCTGCTCCAGTGGCTGATGGGAGCACCAGCTGGACTGAAAATGAACCGAGCCTTGGATCAAGTTTTGGGCCGCTTCTTCCTCTATCACATCCATCTTTGGATCAGTAAGTGAAATTGTTTAACTTTCCAGCCTCCCTTTTCATCTCTGAGTGTTTAATGTTTGCCTAGAGGTGAGTAATGAATCAAAATGCACTTCTGCAAGTACAGACTTGTCTGGGAGTCTTCCTGCTGTGAGAACTGAAGCCAAAGTTGGATTCTCACACAAGGAATTCATGCATATTAAATAAAGTGCTGGTGTTGATGCTCTGTGAGAAGTGCAGATCCTGCTGGGGCATAGTTACTTGAGTGTCCAAGGGAAGGCACTGCTATGAGGTTTTTTGTGGGTTTCTGTGGTCTTTGCCATGTGAKAGGCAGCTCTTGGGATAGGGATGAGAAATGTGCAGGGATGCAAATGCCAGCCCTGTCCTATCACTGACTTCAGCATAGTGCAATTTTGTTATTTCAAGTCGCTGCTTCGAATAACACCGCTGCTATCCTTGAGTGAAGAGTACAGGCATGATGGACATGAACTCCATAGTTATTATACTGATTTACTTTGCTCACCAATCAAGTATGATCTTGTTTCTGTGACTTTGCCCCACTTCAGTGATGAAAGAGACTGTCCACACTGCTTTATTTTACAAAAGCCATATGAAGTGGCTTTTGTGGGAAGAGCAGAAAAACAGGAATGGTTACAGTAAAGGTTGATGTGTGCAGTTAAAAATGCAGTTAAAAAACCTGGGCACAAATGTAGGAAGTCAAATGTTACATCCCTGGAAGTGTTCAAGGCCAGACTGGATGGGGCTTGAAACAGCCAGGTCTGTGGAAGATGTCCCTGCCCGTAGCAGGGACRTGGCACTAAATGATCTTTAAGGTYCCTTTCAAACCAAACCGTGCCATGCTGATTCTATGAAATCACACATGGAGAAAGGTGACTGCTGTATTCAAGCTTAGCATGTTCTCCCCATCCTCCCAGAACTGCCCTGCTTTGTGGCAGAAACTTGGGCAGAAAGAGAAGTTGTTTTGGTCCTTCTAAAGAGAAGTTGGCATCTAAAAGAGTTTTCAGCTTCACTTCCATGTTTTCATGGCTCTGATTTCTGGAGCAGTGTTCTAGGGCAAGGGGAATTGGCCTGTTGAGAGAGGGTCAAGAGGGAGGTGCCCCAGTCAAACACTGACCCTCTACCATGTGCACCAGGCTACATCCACCTGCTGTCCCCCTTCATTGAGATGATCCTGTGGTACGTGGGGCTCTCAGCCTGTCTGGGCCTGACTGTGGCTCTTTGCATCCTCTCCGACATCATTGCACTCCTGACCTTCCACATCTACTGCTTCTATGTCTACGGGGCCAGGTGAGTCTGCTCTCTGAGGGGTGTTTGGAGACAGGGGCTACAGACAAGAACACTCAGACCATGGGGAAGCATTCAGTCATGCTGTAATTTTCCTGAATTCACAGTTTCACTGGCAATTTCTTGCAGTCTTTTATGCCTGTAGAAATGATGGCCACAGTAGGACAAGTAACCTGTCTTTCAGTTCTCCTGCATTTAAATATTTATCTGTCATGGTAGTGACCTGGAAAAATAAAACTACRTAACAGGCAGAGGACAAAAAAGCAGCTCACCCGATCCCTTTGACCCAACCTCACAGTACTATCCTCAACTGCACCCTGCCAGAGGTGTGGGGGGGAACTGGAGAAGAGGAGGAGAGGGGAAGGGGAGAGGGGAACCCTTGTAGTTCTGAAGAAGTCCCAAAGTCCCTGTCTCTGCCCTGTTAAGGGGTTCTGCCTGTGCTGTGGAGCACAGATAGGCACATTTGGGTTTACAGGGTGTCTGTGAAAGCTGGGCAGAGGCTCTGAAGGAGTGGTGGGGGAGGGTGCAGAGGGCACATCTGGGGCATGTTGGGGTTCTGTGCAAGAGGTGCCCATCACTGTGTTCTGTTCCTGCTCTCCTCTAACTTGTGCCACAGCAAGGAGTCCCAGAGGCCACAGGACATGCTTGCCAGGGTGATGGGATACAAGAGATRAAGGACTTTTTGGTTCATAAGGTGCAGAATGGCCATTATCCCTCCTCAGGCTGTGCTTTGCAAACACAATAAGTAGTAAACCTTTGGATGTGGGTGTTTTAAGGAATGCTTGGAGATACTGAGACCTGATTTATGAGCCAGATCTGTTGTGAGTATATGAGTATAGGGCTTGCACCCRGAATCAGTAATGCCAGGATTGGGGGGCCTCTTCCCAACACCTCTAATTACTGGAATTGCTGTGTTGTTCTGTGAGGAATGGCCTTSCTCCTCCTAGTTGTGCAGAGACTGGAAGTAGGAAAAGCATTTTCTCATCTGATTACTCTTCCCTAGAGCTGGAGGGAGCCATCCAACCTGCCTCGTGTTTGTCAGGAGTATAGAACAGGAAAGGCCAGCAGTCAGCCACAGCCAGCACAGCCCCTTGAGTTCCTGCAGCCAGCAGGAGGAAGAATTTGCTGGTCCAGGTGCTGGTGAAGGCCAAGATCCCCTTATGGAGCAAACCACAGAGTGCAGTGAGGGCAGGCGTGTGTGTACAGGCAGCAGGGCAGATGGGGCAGGTGCTACTGCAGCAACTCCCACTGGTGCCGTGTCTGGGGGTCAGGGAGATGTGGCYTTAGTCAGAGCCATGGGCAGGTGTGTGCCAGAAGCTGGAGGAGCTGTTCTGGGCTCCCTCCTGCCTAGGGGCTGGTGCACTGRGTTGTGCCTGCCGCTCTGGAGGCACCCTGCCAATCCCTTGAAGCAGTTGGTGTTCCTCAAACCAGCTTCTTCTCTTGGATGAGACTCCCTGCCTCTGCTTTCACATCTCTGCCGTGAAATCKAAGCAGCCTCCCCACCTTAGCTGGCCTGCTTTGCCAGTCTGGCTTTTGTAGTTCAGGCTTTCTCAGACTCTGTTCTGCCCCACACATTGGCCATGTCCCATCCCTGTATGTTGGCACTGCTGGCCAGGGCTCTTCCTTGATGTTATTCCAAAAAGTGGTGTCTATTTCTCACCCCTGGTCACTCCAAGTTTCCCTCACCATTGTCATTCTTCTCTGAGGGAAGTAGCTCCAAATCTCATAGCACCAAGTTCTGAAAGCCTGAGAGAGGGATGTAGTAGGGGCCCCCAGGCATTTCACTGATCTCTTCYCACTCTTAAGGATTTTGAGAGCTGTGGATTACTAGAGAAGTTCCCTTGCATCTCTGTGCTGCAGAGGCAACATTGCATTGCACTGACTCAGGTGTGGGGTAGGAGCTTGGCCAGCGCTGTCAGGAAGGGTGAGGTGAGGGGCAGGGACAGATCTGACCTGAGGAGACCCAGGTGAGCTTGGGGAAATAATTTGGCTCGTTCTTTTCATAGGATCATGGAATGATTTGGGTTGGGAAGGACCATAAAGCTCATCTCATTCCACCCCCTGCCATGGGCAAGGAAACCTTCCACCATCCCAGGCTGCTCCAAGCTGTCCAACCTGGCCTTGGGCATTGCCAGGGATCCAGGAGCAGCTACAGTTTCTCTGGGCACCTGTGCCTCCCCTSCCTTTTGCTGCAGGGAAGGTGTTGCCAGGAGGCTGGTGATTGCTGCAGCCCCAGGGCATGGCCTAGCCATTCCCCTCCAGTAGCCCAGAGCTGGCTGCCGTAGCCCTCGTGCCAGGAGCCAGCCCGGACTGAGCCATGAGTCTTTATCTCCATCATTCCCAGTGGATTTCTTTTTGTCACCCCTGGCTCAGCAGGTCGGTGGGTGGGCATGGGGCTGTGACAGTGACAGCTGGGTGCTGCTGGAGCTGGGAACTGCCAGCTCTGCTGCACAGAGTCTTCTCTTTGCTCAGGCTCTACTGCCTGAAGATCTACGGCCTGTCCTCTCTGTGGCGTCTGTTCCGGGGCAAGAAGTGGAATGTGCTGCGGCAGCGCGTGGATTCCTGCTCCTATGACCTGGACCAGGTAGTGCCACAGCCCCAGGGACACCGCAGGACACTTGCCCAGGCACTGCCCTCCCCTCCCGCTCAGACTGATACTGGCACAGAGCCACAGGGTGCTTGGTGGTGCCCAGAACAAGGACATATCCTGACACTCCGCATCTGTGGCTCTTCTGCTGCCCTGCAGCACCTCTTCATTGCCCTGCAGCATTC